GAAGCAACCCTCTCTCTCTCTCTCTCTCTCTGTCTCTCTGTCTCTCTCTTTAAGAAACTGGTGTTGTAGGGTGAAGCAATCTCTCTCTCTCTCTCTCTTTAAAAACTTTGGTGTTGGTAGGGTGAAGCTCTCTCTCTCTCTTTAAGAAACTGGTGTTGGTAGGGTGAAGCAATCTCTCTCTCTCTCTCTGTCTCTCTCTCTAGAAACTGGTGTTGGTAGGGTGAAGCAATCTCTCTCTCTCTCTCTCTCTCTCTAAGAAAACTGGTGTTGGTAGGGTGAAGCAATCTCTCTCTCTCTCTCTCTAAGAAACTGGTTGTTGGTAGGGTGGCAATCTCTTAAGAAACTTGTTGGTAGGGTGAAGCAATCTCTCTCTCTCTCTCTCTCTCTCTCTCTCTTTAGAAACTGGTTGTTGGTAGGTGAAGCAATCTCTCTCTCTCTCTCTCTCAACGAAGCATTTCCTAGTATCAAGTAATCGAACAGTGAACAAGGAAAAATAATGTTCTTTACACAATAAATGAATAAACGAGTTAAAATGTAACAAAAAATATCAAGTGACTCATGACTCCATGACTCGTGACTGGTGACTCATGTTTGGTGACTCATGACTGGTGACTCGTGATTGGTGACTCATGATTCGTGACTCATAACACGTGACTGGTGACTCATAGCAGCTGACTCATGACTGGTACTCTGATTGGTGACCCCATTCCGTGATTGGTGACTCATGACTCGTGACTCATAACACGTGACTGGTGACTCCATAGCTGACTCATGACTGGTGACTCGTGATTGGTGACTCATGATTCGTGACTCATAACACGTGACTGGTGACTCATAGCAGCTGACTCATGACTGGTAACTCGTGATTGGTGACCCCTGACTGGTGACTCGTGATTGGTGACTCATGACTCGTGACTCATAACACGTGACTGGTGACTCATAGCAGCTGACTCATGACTGGTGACTCGTGATTGGTGACTCCGCAGTTCAATGACTCATAACATGACCTGGTGACTCCTGCTTGGCGCTTTGGCTGGGCTCATGACTTCCCCATACGATGATCGCTGAGAGCAAATGATTTTTGAGATGACAGAGAGACAGTCACCAAGGGTAATTACTTAATTTTCACTTATAACTAAACATGTAACGTATTCTGGCATCCGTTTAATATTCTCTCAGTTTATTAGGTCAGGATAGGTCAGTCAGGGAGGGTCAGGGGTCACGGCGGGGTATTGTAGGAGGGATACAGGAGTCTCGTATCCCCCTTTCATTAGTTTTGGTCATTTTCTTTAATTAATGCCTAAATATTCTGAAGCATGAAGAATTTTAAAAAGTCTAAGGCTTAAAATAAAGATAATGTATAAATCTATGTCATCTAATGTGTAATATTAGGTATTATTAGTGTAAATATGTAAATACCGTGTTTATACAAAATTGCATAAATAATTTGTTTTACTGGCATTAGCCCACCGTGGCACAGGTCATTTTTAATGACCCACATCAAGACCTGGGGGGCGAAAATATAATATTAATAATAATGATGGTGATGATGATGATAATAATAAAGATAATAATATTAATAGAATTAATAAAAAGCCACAAATAAATACAAAAATTAAAAAAAATCACGAATGAGAAATGATGTACAGTATATTGCTGTGTTGTCAAAGTAAGAGAAACAATTGAGACCCTGCAATTGTGTGTAAATGAGGCAGAAAGTCAGATCATCAACCTGGGACTTGGTCACATATGGCAGCAGAGTCTACCATTAGACAACACATTATGCTTCCAATATCTTCCCAGGCGGTAGTACCTCCCTGTTTGGTAGCTGCCTACTACCACCTGTATGTATATATATATATGCTGATAACCACAAGGAAAGAAGAAAACACGAAGTTCTCAAGCGCTTTCGTGTAATTCACATCTTCAGGGGTGAGTACAGACTAAGGAGGAGTACAAAACAGGTGTATATATACAGAGGAGGGTGAGACCAGGTCCACAATGGTCAGGTATTAGGTAATGACCCTACTAATCTTTAAATAGCACCGCAACGGTCGGTAGTCAGGTCAGAGGGTAAGGTGACCCAACCTTCTCACCTGGTTACAAATCTTCTTAATTACAAAATGGTCCAGTTTGTACATGCCATTACTCAAATTCATGTTGACTGCTACGGTATGTTTAATGAGACTAGATTCTATAATGTTCCTACTGTCAATTGAATTACAAGGTAATATTGAGGAGGCATTATCCCAGTCAATGCAATGCTTATTATCCCTCAGATGAACAAACAGAGCATTGGATTCCTGGCCTGTCCTAACACTATATTTATGTTGTTTAAGTCTAGTATACAGTATGTATATGTATATGTGAATAATAAAATAAATATATATAAATACCATAAACAGAATTACATTAATAAAATCAATATAGAAATACAAAATTAAATAACTAAATATTTTAACGAATGTATAATCTACATTTGCGTACACATTATAAGAACGCAGATGTGTGTTTAAAGTATTTGATATAGTTTCCCCCTAAGAAATAGGAACTTCATTCTTTTGTTGTTTCCTGCTTCACCTACAACAATTACAACAAACACAACAATCAACTTAGCTGCATTGACGACAAGCAAATCGCAATCAATCAAGAAAGAGCTGTTGGTTTTGGTGTTACTATGCATTACTACGCTTCCTCACCTTATTCAATTAAATATATGTGATTGATAATTATATACTAGGTGCAACTCTATCTTGTGTGAGAATTGTTTTATGTGCAATAGACCAAAGGATGAAATTAGGTAAATCTAAATTAGGAATACAGATGAAGTTGCAAGATGGTTTATTGCAATAGTTATACAATATGAACGGTATCATCGAACAACTCAGTCCAAATTCTCAAAGATGTCATTGTTATTTTGCACTGATTATAGGTATGGGAGGATGAATTTAGTTAGGGTAGTCTAAGTACCTAAAGGAACCAGTCAGATACGTTGTTATAATTTCACTTAAGGGAAATATCTTCGAGAATCCATGCTACTGTGGTCAGGTCTTCAGTAAAACCCGCTGACCTACCGTGGGAGGGGGTGACAGATCTGGCGAATATTTACTTATACAGAAGAGTGAGTAAACAAAGAGATGGGAAAAACATGATGTGTGAATATTAGTCAGTTTGGGTTCAGTTTTCTTACGCTGAAGTGGGATAATGGATGTGTGTACTGTATACTGAGTACTACTGTACAGTATGTCCCGTGTACTGTACACTATTGCATATGAAAGTCCAATGATTTACAGGTATATGGTATATATAAAATAAACTTATGGATGAGAAAAACATTACACTGCCCTAAATATGAACAACTCCACATTGTCTGGGAATGAAACACTACAACAAAATCCCAATTCAGTTCGTCTCTGTCTGTCGTAAGCAAGAAGGACGTAAGTCAATGGCCTAAACCTTGAGGTATCGATTGCATAAATAAAATTTATTTTGTATTCCTAATTTACTTCACACTAAATGCGTTAAATATACTAATGCTATATAAGGTTAAGTTATACAATTTAATTTATATAAAATAATGTATATCTTGTCTTCATTATCTAAGTTAGGCAGATATTACAATTAAGTAAGAAATCGTCATACAAAGGCAGGCAGAAAAGCTGCCAAGGATAAGATGCATTTGCGTATTATTTCCCCAAACCTTATTGTAAAATTACCACTAAAGGTAACGATGGTGTAATTTAAGAGACTTGAATTTTTAGAAGGATATATAAATTACATATATAATGGTGGGCACTATTAGAGGCACTTTGTTATGCAATCAAAGTTGTTTTAATGGTTATATTTCATTGTAATCTTATCTAATCTATCCATTAATTTTCCTCTACAAAAAAATATAAATAACGTAGAGTTTATGCAACTTATTCATCAGTGAAAAGTGGCGATAAAAAATTATGATGAATTTGTAAAGACGGGCAATGTAGACCTTCAACACTGACTTGGGATGTGAAGCACTACAATCGATAATTACATAAACGTTCACTCATTTTTACTAACAATCTTGAATGACTCATCTATCTGTGTATCGTGTATTGTATCCAGAAAATTCTCTTGTTGGGTTTATAAGGTGTTTTACTTCGTTTTAATTGGTTATTTAGACGAGAAACTTCATACACCATTTTAAGTGATCATCGTATAAGGCAGCTGAAAGGGAGTCTGCCAGCTTCTCTTAGCCGCACAAAATCTGAGTAAATATTATCAAATTTTATGAATTTTATGTGTTAAATAATCAACAAATATTAGCTATTTAATATAATTTTGATTTTATAATTAATTTATATATATATTTTTATATTTTTAATTATCGGAATGATAATTTCAGGTTAGGAAAAATACATATATATATTCTGACTTATACCGGCAAATACCTTGACCCATGGAAACTAGGAGCCGTGACTGCCAGATACCGCCAGAGGTTTCAACTGTACCTGTAGCAGCGTTAATATAATATGTTTTGTGGTCTAATTTTTATTATACAGGGTCTTTTATTGATCATTCTTTTAACTTAACAAATTCAGAGTACAGTTTTCATGAATACACTAGTGGGTGTGGTACTATTTAAACTGTAGACACAAGTATTGAGAAGCTCTTGATTAACTTTTCAGGTAATATATGTACTGTAGACTCATCATTAAGTTATTAAACATTCTCAAAGATGTTGTTATATGATTGATTAGTTATAGGAAAAATTATTATACCAAATCTAGTGACTATCCTTGAGGGAAGAGAATAGAGTGAAGTTAAGTTGAGCAGCGTATTATTGATACATTTATACTGAAAAACAGTTTATTCATTCTCTTATGTACATGACCAGGCTTATACCTAAAATATGTGTGAACGATGTTGATTTAGTGATGAATGTGGTGGGTGAGGGTGGTATATAATAGTACGGTGAAGAATGTTGGCCATTAGTTGTGGTGTGTGCCGAGGGGTGGCGCTGGGGCGGTAGTGGCGCGGAGCGTGGTGTGAAGAACCGCCATGATTGTACTGCGGTTCCCAAGCACCTGAATCAGTGTTTTTTTCTCAAAATAATTCTTTGTGTGTGTTAGAAAGAGAAAATAAGCAAAATGGGCACTTCCTAGTTGGTGCCCCCCATATTTTGCGGTGGGCTGTGGCCCACTCGGCCCCCCGTGAAGTGAATAACGAAATGTTTTGTTGTGATGCGGGCTTGCTAATATTTGTGCTGCCAAAATGAGCAAGTTTCGCGCGAGGCAGCTAGACGCCTCTAAACCTATCCCTGTGTATATGCAAGAGGATATCCCTGACTATGCGGAATTTAATGCAATCAACAGGACTGTGCCGCAGATGCCCACGGGGATGGAAAAGGAGGAAGAAACGGTGAGTGTGAGAGGTGAGGGCGGCGCTGGCTGCCCGCGCCGCCGCCATCTTGGACCTCACGGCGCCAAATTCAAACCTCACTAATTCTTGACATATTTTCACCCCTTTGTCTGTCATTTTACATAAACGTCATGACAACCCTCGCCTTATCTGGCTTATAGGCTTAGTCTTATGAATCAAGCAAAATTTAAGTTTTAAATCGTGTGGAAAGAGTAAAAAGAGTGGTGTTGAGTGGGTGTTTTGACAGCTGGCTCACCAGGGAGGATGTCTTAAATAATTCTCACACTACACTAACTCACTCTCAGTATTTACAATATTTTATTAACATCTGGCCTCGTAATTTATTAATATACGTGATTATAGAGCCTGTTATATACTGGTTATATAACTGTTAATTAAATTCAGGTTGGTGGAGTCACTCGGGGCATCTAAAGGCGAGAACAATTAAATAAAACTAATTAAAGATATATTTTATGGTTCAGTATTTAGTTTGTTTTATGTTATTGTGATACTTCATATATTACAACCATAATTATGTATTGCTGTTATATAATATACATTCCTCACCTGTAATATGCAGGTGATTTGAAAATGATTACTCTTTGGCCGATGGCATTTAAATTTTCTAAATAAATTGATTCATAAGTTTATCACAAATGTGTGTTTTTGTACTGTATATTGTACTGTACAGGTATACATTATTAGTTTATACCAGGTATGTATATATTGGTTAGGTTAGGATTACAAGTTACCAAATTCAGTAATCTAGACTTATCTGCTTCAATGAATCAATAATGGAAAAATACAGTAGTAGAAATAATTAAAGGTTTGTCACCATACAGAAATCACTGCCACACACGCACACACACACACACACACACACACACACACACACACACACACACACACACACACACACACACACTATGATCTGTAGCGGTGGAGTTAAGGACACACAAAATCAGTAATATCTCATACAAAGTGGAAGGTGATGGATCAAGTAGATTTGTTTGGTCAGTAAATTCTTCCACTTCCTCCAACTTCATGCCCAGCTGCCTGAAGTCTAGTGCAGTGTAGCCAATGTGTTGCTGCGTCATGATTTTTTGGGTTTTTGTGCTGGTAACTTTTGTGGAACTGGTTATACAGTGTCTCAAGTAAACAATTCAAAGTTAGGATAATAATACGTAGAGTTTTAGTTCTCATTAACCTGATCTTAATTTTACTAGTTTAGTTGGGGGTGGACAGATGTTTAATTGAATACAGCAAGTACATTTTGAAAAGATAAGAGAGTGGCTATTGAGCCGGGTTTGACGGGTCACCTGCTTCGCGCACAGGTAAGAGTAGGTTACGTCAGGGTCAGTTAAATTAGGTTAGGTATACAACTGATGGGTGCTTTACTGTCCGACCTGGCTCAATACCCACTTCCAAAAGATAATAAGACAGTAAATAATAATAAAAAATTAGACTGCCAATAAAGTATTTGTAATAGTGTTATGTTTTGGTATTTAATAATGTCACTGACAAGTTATAATTCTTAAGTGTAGAAATATTATACTTCATAATTTATAATGGAAGTGTTTTAGAAGAATATCAGAGAATAGATAGGTAGCTGTTGTAGATTGTATATACAGTATATGTATGCCAAGCTGAGTAAATTTTCTCGGATGAAATTTGTCGTGTCTGGAGCTGTTATATCAGTAATACACATAATTTTTGTTATGTACCAGTAAACAGTATTTATATTAAAAGGTTTATCTGTGCATGGCTCTTGTTGTGACATTTTGAAATGTACATAGCTACAGATATATTGTACTGTACAGTTTATGTATTATGAACAGTGATGTCTTGTGGATCCAGCTGTCACTTGGTTAGATTTGTGTAGCTATAACAGGTTTAATGTTTTTAATATATACAGTACAGTATACAGTGCTGCCCGGTCATTTGGAACACTTATATACCGGTAGTACTGCCAGTATGCGATGGCAAATATATATTGTTAAAGAAATAGCTATCCAGAAAGTTTGATTATTATTATTATTATTATTATTATTATTATTATTATTATTATTATTATTATTATTATTTGCTTGCTTGATTGCTTTTATTTACAATTCAAGTAACATTGGATGCAAAAATGTCACTTTTAGTCAGTCAGTCAGGTAGTTTAAGAAAAACTATTTTAATAGGTGAACAATTACAGTACTCTACTCTGCACAGTACTAGAACTTGCTGAGCTCCATTTCTGCTTTTGTATACAGTACAGGTACAGTACTTATATCAGTACCTGTGGCACTCTGCCCTTGACAAGTTATCATCATAGATTAATATAAATTAAAATTTCCAAGAATATATATATATATATATATATATATATATATATATATATATATATATATATATATATATATATATATATATATATATATATATATAGTTATATATGAAAATGCATTCATTTAAATTGTATCACATCTGAAAACTGGGACTGGTAACAAATACAAAGGATTTCAAGAAAACTGAAGATCACTATCCTGCCAGCCACCGTACTACAGATTTGCCCCCACACCAGTACTGTATGTGGGTTAGTTTATTGGGCATCTTCCTTTCCTAGAATTGCCATATGTAATGTCCAGTATTGGCAACAGTGCCAGTTGAGTCTTTGGTTTTAGAAGCAGTTAGAGTGAAGGATGATTAAGTGTTCATAGGAAGGAATCCCTTACAGATTCAACTGGGTAAGACAAATATTGGAAGGCTCCTAATAAAGATGAGTGCCAGGCCTGACAGTAAAGGAGGGATACTTGATCAGGAAGACATAATGGTTGGGGTCCTGTGGGAGGATGTAAAGTACCGGTACCGTAGTGGGAAAGTATTGAGATCTCATAGAGTTACATATATTGTGCCGAGGGTCAGTATTGTCAGCATACAAATACAATTTTCCCAATAATTCATTATCATTCAGAGGTGTAGCTTATATGTAATATGTGCACAGTAAGTTGTGGCTGAGTCGGGTAGATGATCTTAATTGTAGCAAGCAACTTTTGAGTAAAAAATACTTTATTTGTTAGGTGAAACACAATATATAGCTACTTTATACATATTTATACATAAAGATGTCTTGGGGAATAAAGTCATTAATGATGTAGATACATTAAAGGTACAGTATTAGAAGTCTAAAAAGCTTTACTGGCACCATGAAGCTGCAGAAGCTATCTATCTTAAGTAAGGAACCAATTACTGTACTGTGGTAAGTTAGCTTAGGATTATACAGGGAGTTAGACAAGGTTGTGTGCTATCTCAAACATTAATGATATACGGTACTGTACTGTATGTACAGTACATACAGTATTAGGTACAGTACTGTACTGTATCTTAAAAAATTTAATGGAGTGAGTAGCATTAGTGATTATGTAATTAAAGTTAATAATAAAAGTCATTTGTATTCAGTATTCTGATTACCGGTATGTGATATATACAGTATACTACAGTACTGTATATATACAATAGTATTTATACAGTACATGTTTGTACTGTATATACTGTAACTACAGTACTGTATACAGCTCTTATTGTAGATAATGAAGAGGCATATATAAAATTGAATTATTAAAGGCAAATGGCCAAAAATATGGGCTTCAAGTGCATTGTACAGTATGGAATGTTTACTATCCAGAAGCACTGTTTGCTTTCAAATTAAAATATGGTTAATATTAGATATTTTGATCAGGTGGGTAATTTTGTGAACTGTATTTGAAGGGCAGGGGATGTGTCTCAGCTGAATAAAATCATCTGGCATTAGCCAGAATTAAATACAATACTGGTACTGTACTATTACTCTAATTATAGATACTGTATTATCTATAACAAGCCATGTATTTAAAACATTCGTATTTATCAACGCATTTCTAAGAAAGTTGGCCGAGGCAACTGAAATAATATGACTGACAAGATCTTACTAATTGGCTGTTTAGTTTTTTGTTTGGCAGGTGAGTTGGTCAGCAGTATATAATTTGTATGATTGAATTGAGTAAAGTTGGACTCAATCATGTTAGGTTAGTTTGGCTTTGTTAGGATTGTTTGGGTTTGATTTACAATCTTCTGTTATCAAGGTGACCAAGTGTCTGGAGTGGTGAATTTTACAGAAATCCATTGACTGACAACATAATTATAGAACAGAGTTTTCTACCTTGCGGTCATTGTCTGTCACTAACCACTTGTTGAATAATACACACTAACAATGATATGTGTTGTATATATTGTCTTTATTAAACTGTTTTTTTTTGTAAGTGACTGGTAAATATAATATGGCAGGTGAAGGTGAGTGGGGCAGCAGGGAGTGAGGGAAGGGAAAGGAAAGGGATGTTGTTTACTCTAGCTGCAGCACAGTGGGAGTAGCTACTGTACAATACTGGACTGCAACAATGAGCTATAGGTGGACTAGATAAAGGGAACACTGGACCAATTCATATGATTTCTCACAATGCCATAAAATAATGTACAGTTGCACCTTGCTTGAAATAAATTGAACTTTTATTTAGAGGTGCAGGTGTGGCATTGTTTCTAGCACCAACTAGGCTTTTAACCTTTAATTAGAACAATGATTGTCTACTTTCTGTACCTGGGAAATGTCAGTGTTGAAAGTTTTACTGCCCTGCTGGCGACTTGTTAAAAATGGTGAATTTACATCCTTACTAATACATCAGTAAATATATGTATATATATTTTTATATAATTACCCATTCCTGTACAGTACTGTATATCGAAAAAAAAAGAAAATATATACTGTATGTTCCAAGAAGTTTGACTGGCTACAACGTGTAACAAAGTTATTTACAACCAGCTCCATAGTGCAACACTCGAGCACTTTATTATAGTTTTTTATTTTTCCGGAGTGATTTACTCTTCAGAAATATCAGGAAACAATAACAATCAGCAAGATGAAGTGAGCAACAGCAATACCCCTAGCGGTAAGAGACTCCACCAAGCCATTACTTTAGATGTTA